TCTCGTTATCATCTTCAAAATACTACTGTTCAACTGAACTGCATTTCAGCAACTGTTAAACAATCTTTCATCTTTCCTTCACTGAAGGGTGGAGCTGTCTGACTATGTCTTTAAATGCCCGTATATATATGTACACATAGGGTTTAACCTGCCAGCAGGTATGTACTGTACAGTGTTTATTCCTTAATTTGAAATTTATCATTCAGTATGGGTGCTGATAGAAAATACATTTTCAAATCATACACACTGTCAATCTGAATATCATCACTCAATTATTTTTTATAAATCCTCCCATTGGGTGTTCAGTCATTAATAGTTCCTGTTTAACAAGCCAGTTCAATTAAAACATTTTTAAGAGGTTTTGGAAAAAATTGGATCATTTTCCTCTAGTCTGTTTTTCACTTTTCATACTCTGCATTTCCTAATTCCAGCTGGGAGAAAAAGTGCTGTGTTGCACTTTCTATGCAGTATTTTTGGCCAAATTAAAAGCAGAAAGTTCACAGAAGAGCATATTCTTGTGAGATTTCTTGTCCAGCTTTACAGATCAAGATATTCAGATAAGATTTGACTAAGCATTTACATTATTAAATTTCTGTGTCATTGCCTGGAAAACTGGTATTATGGACATTTTATAGTAAATGAGATTAATTCTTGTTGAATATCACTTAGGGGATTTTTTTTGAGGTAATTAAAATGGCAAGATAATTCACTTGAATAATTTAAACAAAGTTCCCTTGCCCAAGAAAAATTTGCACAATTCCTGTAAGAGATTACTACTTTGTAGGCTAATCCCTTGTCCTTCCTTTGGGAGATGTGAGAAATCACCAACTTCATGTCATTTCTCCAACAGTATGAAACAGGTTGTTGAATAATTCAAACAGTATAGGCAAAAAGACTTTGCTATAGTATTTTAGTAAGAGAGTAATGATATGTGCATATGGCAGCAGGTTAGTAATAAATACATTGTGAAAGTGTATATATATTGTGAAATATAAAATCAAAGAAAAGCTGCTTCGGTACATAAATGAGAATTTTATGTCAACTTAAGTAATAGATCTAAGTGCTCTGTGTACAGCTACCATGGATTCTCTATATGGGTTTGTAGAATGTTTAGCAAACTGTAGTAATTTAGAAGTAAATTAAGATTTTTGTTAGATTTTAAACTAAAACTAGCATAGCACATCTGGGTTCTAATCTTAAAGGTATATTAAAGTAATTAATGCGTCTTTATTCATATCATCACATGAGAAGCTTCCTATTGATAGCCTCAGACTATGGTAAATTCTTAACTGCTCTAACTGTAGATAGGTTTTTTTATTAAATGTAGCAGTATTTAGATGTAACCATGAAGAATTTTCACCAAGTATTTTCTCCACTACACTCTATTTGGATTCACTGCTGTAAACAAGGACCCCAAATCCTCTCAATTTGTCTTGCCTTCTAATAATCCACAGCCTGAGAATTTAAATGAAGTAAATTTTTACTTAACGGGTTGAGCTGTTGGTAATCTTGTTCCAGTGTTACAACAAACACAGCACACATCATCTTTCTAGGATTTTTTTGTTGCTTAGCCTAGATTCTCCAAAACTTAGGCCAGACATCAGGACTGGGAATTCAGCGTTGTTTGACATCCCATCCCTTTTCCAAAGGATAGATTCTTTCCGAATAGATTATTCCTGGCTAACATGGGAATAAATTCTGAGTCAATGATAGTTTTCATGGAATAACATGGGGATTTAAAGGTCCTTTCTTATCTTTCACTCAGCCTGGGTGTTAGATACACAATCTATATGTAATTGCCATTCCTGACTCCATAGAGGCAACATGTCCTCAAATATTTAATGACTTCTTTAATGACTTTAATTCCAATCAGTTGTCTGGCTGTCCCAGAGATTAGATGTCTTACCTCATAGAAGACCTGTTGAAGATGCAGAAACAAGATTATTTAATATTATAGAAGATGGGGTCAAATATATTTTTGTTTGACTCTCAATCTCTTGTATGTAACCGTGTATAACTATATATCCCATTCAAAATTTTCTTAGCACAGATGGTAGACAAATTGGTGGTACTAGGAGTTCAGGTCCTGGTCTTGAGCTTTCACTGCATCAGTTTCAGCCAGTAGAGCTCAGTCAAGCACAACATAAAAGAACAAATGTGTGTCAAGCAGTAAGTATTTCTGTTGCTGTTTTCCTGAAATGTCATGGGTGAAGTTGCATGAGATAGCAGAGTTATCTGTATTTTTGCTACCAAAGCCAGCAAGGTCTTACTTTGTAACCTTGCTCATCAGACTGATATTCAACACATACTTTAGCTGATTTGATTCAACTCATGAACCAAGCAGAAAACAGACCTTCCTCTAACGCTAGTTCTCTGCTGAGATGGCAGTTTGAACTGCCTTAAGGAAGGGATCCCTGTGTGCTATAACTGACAAATGGTACAGTAAGTGCACATAGCCATCAGTAGGGAGCAAGAGAGATGGGAAACACTTTCTGATGATACAACCAGTTAGAGAGGTCTAAGCCATCTTCATGTCAGTACTCCACTCCTAAATGGTCTGATCAGTCCATTGAAACTGTTGTAGAGGAAAATAAAACCAACCACCCCAAACAAACAAACGACAAAAGGTTGGTTATTTTACAGTTAAGGATTTCTTCCAGAGGAGTATCTGGAAACCTATGGACTAGTCCCCATTTCCTTGAAGCCTGGCACTTCTGAGGTTCCTTGGCTGAAACAGAATAGACCTACTTACACCCTAAGCTTGAGAATCAAGTGAAAGCATTGATAGTAGTGCCAAAGAAAACAAAAGTGTTAGTTCACAGCTATATTTACCATACCCTTTTGCCCTTTTTGTGTAAGCATTAATGTACAGGAATCTTCTGTAACAAGATTACAGCCATGCGTTTGTCTTTTTCAGAATATCCCAGGGTCATTCAGTGCTCGTTATTTTTATTCCCCATATTCAAAGTGCGGCCCTTCACCACTCAAATTACGTGTATGAGCACAGATAACAGTTTCCTCACTGGCTTCCTTCATTACTTCTTCGATGTTTGACCGCGGGGGAAGCCACTTTATCTTCACAACCTGCATTACCCAGAGGCTCGTCCTGAGGCTGTGCAGTGATGTCCATACCGGTGTGAGTCAATGTGATCTTGGCCGCCCCCCCCTCCCCGGGCTGACCGGGGCCCCTCTGCGGCACGGACGATTTGGAGAACAAAGCACACAATTTTTAGGCAAAGCAGTGCATTTCTACTTTCAGGAGCGTCCGGCCACAGTGCCGTGGTCTGTGCGCTGCCCGGCCGCAGAGCCAGGTCACAGAGGACGGGAAGAGGCCGGAGGAAACGAGACAGACACTCGCGGGACAAGGGGCTGCGGCCCGCGCCGCGGCTGCCTCCCGCGCTCGGACTACGCTTCCCAGGAGGCATTGCGGCGGGAGAGGTCACCGCGCATGCGCAGAGCGCCGCGGCGGCCCGGCGCCTCTGGGAGGGGAGATTTTGATTCCGGGCCGCGGCCAGCAGCCCGGCTCTGCAGAGAGACCTGGACAGGCTGGAGCCATGGGCTGAGCCCAACTGGGGGAGTTTCCATAAGGGCAAATGCCGGGGGCTGCCCAGTGGTGCCGACAGCACCCGCTGCCTTCGTGCCAGCGGCCCAGTTCCCTCAGCGGGGGCTCGTCTTAGGCTGCGGCTCCAGGAGTGCGGTACCGGTGTTTGCCAGAGGCATTTTACTACAAGTCCTGTGATTGTGTTGTAGTTACAGGCTAAACCATTTCAGTTTTAGAACTGTGAGGCAAATCCCGTGCAAAGCTGCTTATTCATGGTTTTTAATCATTCAAAATCATTATTTTGGCTTGGTTTCTCAAATACAGAGTGTAAAGATGCGACAGTTCCAATTGCCCCAATGATCCTTCCATTCCTAGTGCTGTCCCATAAATTTCTGATGAGGTCATAAGCATTGTTTGACAGTTTTGGAACTACAGGATTGAACTTTAGCAAACCCTGCCGTACAGGTGCACAGACTGAAAACTTGAGATCTTAGCAAAAGTCTCTCAAAAAATCAAGACACCCTTAAGACTGGCAAAGTGTAGTGAATGGCTACGCTGACAAATGGAAGACCAAAGAAGAGGTGAAGACCAGAGACTTGCTATATTCACAAACTGTTGTTCAGTGCAGCTGAAGCTTGGCTGCAGATATTTTTCCTTGTAAATCCTTCACTTTAACCAGTTACAATTCCATAGAGTAATTTCCTGTGTAAAATTTAAGACTTAAGCTATTGTCCAAGGTAATTAACCCTGAAGCACTATAATTTCATACATAAACTTTTGTGTGAATGTGCCTGATTCCAGTCGTATAAAGTTTAAATAAAACTGCCAACTCTCTGCTACATTATAAGCACCAGACTTTTTTTGCCAAACTTGACTTTCTACTTTCAAGTCTGAAAAGCCTGTGTGCATTGAATCTGCTTTGGAGGAGCGACACTAAAGTATAATTTTAGGGTAGTGTGGGTTTGCAAATAAGAAAAAGTATAGGCAGCTAAGGATAGACTGCAATTTCCCTACTTTGTTTTTGATTATGGTATTGGTTGTAACTGAGTATTTGTATGGATGACCAAGTTTGCTTTTCCTTCTTAAGCTTCAGAAGGAAAGATTCTGATTCACTCTCTATTTTTTTTAAATTTTAACACTGATTTCAGGAATGTTCACAATTTAGCCTGGAAGTGTTTTCTTAAATAAGAAAACAGTCCTTCATTTGTGTGGATCTCGTTGCCCTTTCTCTGTGTCCTGCAACTTTTCAACTGTCATGTTAGTAGATTTTTAGTGAAAAAGGACTTGTATACATGTATATATATTTAAAAATTGTATATATATATGCATTCATAGCAAGCATACTTAAGGCAGCTTTCTAAACTAATTTATTCTAAAACACTGGCATTTTTAAAGAGATTTTTGAATCCAAATGTGCGAATTGATATCTATGTATAATCTAATTTTCTTATATTATTTAATGCAGGTTCCTGCTATTCAGCAAAAGAGAACTGTAGCATTTCTAAACCAGTTTGTGGTTCATACAGTGCAGTTTCTTAACCGCTTTTCTACTGTTTGTGAAGAGGTATGTTTATTATTTTCCTAGCTGACAATGAAAACAATCCTAGAAATGAGAACCATTCACTTCACTATTTTTGATGCACTAATACTGGTAGCTAACAAAAAAATTTAGTCTGCTTTCTGATCAAGGTTTCTCTTGAGTAAGTGCTTAAGACAGATTTTTTTTTTTTCCCCCTGAGATATCCGCATAAACTGCTGATTATACCACACTTAATCCTGTTTCCTTAAACTTTTGCATTTGGCACAGTTTTTGAACTTTTTGATACATGGAATTTGTTCTGAGCAGCTCCATCTGTGGATATCATCTTGTTTTGGAAGAAGGATGCCATATTCCTTTAGTGCTGAATCCATTTTGACAGTCAGTATTCCTCTCATCTGTGTCCTAGGATATTGCATCAAAACTTGCTTTCAGATTTTACCACCTTTAATTTAAAAGGGTGATAATCTAAGCTCTGAATGTAAATAATTTTGATGTGGAAAAAAAGACATTTTTGGCAAGTGATTAGTATGGAGCAGGAAGCAGTTAATTTTAGTGTCTTGTAAAAAAAGAGAAAAATAAAAATATTTAGTGTTAACAAGTTTTTGTGATGGCTTTAGTGTCAATGGAAATAAACCAGACTGACAGGACTAGAATTGTTCACTGAACAGAACAAGAGTGCTTCCTCCCTTGTAGAAAGCATGTTTTCTAATGTGGCTTTGAGCTTAACCTTTCTGTCATTAGTGGGTTTTTTTGTAACTGTTCACTAGTTTATTCAACAAAGACTACTATATAGCCCAAGCCAGCAGGGCTTGGGCAGCAGTCAAATCCAATTAGACTAAGCCATGTAATCTGAGAAATTCTGTTATTTGTTAGTAAAGTTTAGAGCCAGACCCATGACAAGTATAAAATTTGGCTACCACATCAACATATGGAACTTCAGAGGAAAAAAAAAAAGTATTTTTTTCTAGATTTTTAAACTTATTGTAACTTGATACATGGGACGGTGTAACTGTCTGATGATGCTTTTGTCGGTTGTCCAAAACTCAGTTATCACATGATCTCAATATTACCTCTTACACAGGCAGTATGGAAATCAAAACACATATATTTAAAGCCATCTTGAGCATGCAGCAACTCTGTGAAATCTAGTTAATAAAACAGTTATTAGTTAACTTAAACGTGTTGTTACCCAAGAGACTTAATAGTTGCTTTATAAACTCCTTTAAGAGTTTTTTGTATTTATGAAGAACAGAAGTGATTTTAATGCGGAAGGTCCCAGTCTAAATCAATAGAAGCCAAGAAATTAAAAATTAGGGCTGACACCATCCTTAACTAAATTTCTTGGCTCTTGTCTAGTCAAACTGACCTGTAAAGTTATATAACTGTCTCTTGCACATCTTTAATCCCCTTTCCCAACTACATGTAGGGCACATAGTTCCTTTCAATAGGAACTAACTCCTCTTCATGAACAAAGAACCATCTGTAAACAAGTTAATGCACTATCCAAAAAGACTAACTCTTGTCAGTCTCTTTTTGCTTTTTCTAGCATATTGGCAGAACTGCCATTTTCTTAGGGTGTTAAAGTTCTGCTTCAGAGCCAGGCAGAATCTTGCCAGTGTGCCAGAAAGCTGTCACAGTGGTACATATCGCCAGCCAGAGTTCTAGCCAACTTCACTTGGACAGGTCTGGTGGAGTATGGTAGTGATTAGTTAAAAGAGTGACAGTTCTTACAGAGTAATTTATAAAAACTTAAGTTGCTTTTTTTTTAAAAAAAAAAAAAAAGTGTCAAAATTTGATTGAGGTGCACCTGGAGCGTTTAAAGCTGCTTAGTTTCTGGTTCACTGTGCATTTTGACTATATAGGACTTTCAGTCACCTGTTGTATTCTTTATCATGTTTCTCTGATTTGTATTTGCTCAGTTACATAGGCACACATCACATCTTCTAATCTTCCACATTTGGAAAAAGCTTTGAAGAAAGATGTTTTGGTAATTGCAAGAGTATGATATGTCTACCATTATTCTCCAGTTGCCCAAAGTAACATCCTGTTTACTTCAGCTTTCTTTTGTACATAGTCTTCATTTCTGTCAGTTGTTGTTTGAGAAAACTAATTGCCTAGTAAATTTGTTTAAAATGTGAACCACTGTATCTACTATACTAAAAAGAGGTGTCATGGCTTCATGTATTTCATTATCATCTCATTTACACTGTACTCTGCCTTCAGCAGGTAGAATACAAAAGGTGTTTTGTTCAGCTAGATGTGAACTGTGTTATATGTCCAAGTGGCCTAGGGGAGTGTTTTCATGTCCCAATTGTTTTCTATTCTAGAAATTGTCAGCACTTTCTCTCCGTATCCAACAAATTGAAACCACGCTCAATATTTTGGATGCAAAGGTTTGTATGTGTACAGACTTTGTCTTTTAACAGTGGCAGCCTCCTAGATTACATGAACTAGCTTCCTTTTCATAGTTTGATTTGAGCAAATAAGTTTTCTTAATGATTTGAAGTAGCTAATACAAAATGCTTACATGGTATATTCTCTCTTTCCATGCCTTGCCCCTTGTATTCTGTAACATTTGAATATGTAGTTGGTATGAAAGAAAGGAACCAACAGCAAATAGTGGCAATGTTGATTTTGTCTCTGTTAAGCATACTGAACAGGAAAGGAGCACTTTGATCTCGAAAGGGCAACTGAACTATATGACAGCTTATTTGTGTTGATTTTATTGCAATGTTTGTTTTTTAAGAAAATCGAAGTTTTCCAATATTAAAATATGCAACTTCTGTTGCAGGGTTGCAGTGCGCAATTGCATTTGCTTTGTAAACTCTTAAGAAGAAATTCTTGTCTCCTTTGTAAAGCAAAAGTATCTTTGTGTTACCGGACTGTAAGGATTTCAGCTGGCATAAATAACTAGATAGATGCCTTGTAAATTTTTTTATATTAAAAGGTGACCTGAATTGGATCTAAGCTAACACAAATGTGTCTGATCTATCTTCTTTAGTTAAAATGACAAAAGAATGTAATCTGTAGTCATGTATTATCATTTAATTTGCTAAAAGAAAAAAAAACAACCAACCCCAAAACCAAAAAACCCACCCACTAAAGTTTTAACTAATCTTTTTTCCAATAATGATAGAAGCAATTTCAGCTGGCTTTTCTGGGAGCAAGGGTAGGACATTTTGAAACTGCTCATTAAGACCTTTGTGAAAAAACTACAGTAGTAGTACAAACAGTGCATACTAACTCTTATTTATTTCAAAATATTTAGGAATGATCAGTACTGATAGTTTTTTTCAGAATTCTTCATAATCATGTTAAATAGAATTTCCTTCAAATAGATATGCAGTGTATTTAATATTCACTCTAAGCATTTCAATAAAAAAGAGTGAAGGATGTAGAAAATTACAAAATCTGTAATCAGCCACCCATCTGTTAGGTAACAGAGCTGTTCTTTTACTGTAGAGGAAGTAGCAGAGAAGATGGCACAGCTCTTGTGTGGTTGGTAAGTGCAGTAGCAACATGCTGGGAAGTTGTTGAAGCCTTTACTGCACTGCAACTCTGTGTTAACAATCAAAGCTCCAATGAAATGTTTTGAGGTTTTTGTTGTAGATGCCACCTGAATAGAGAAATCTATTTTTTCACCCCAATCCAAATACCAAAACTAGTGATAAAAAGTTATGATTTTACTAATGTGAAACCTGCCTGGGGATTATGTGGTAATCAGTATACTGCAGATTTTATTGTACTGATGGACTTATGATATGCTCTTTGCTTATTTTATGATGTTTTGTACATTCAGTTATCCTCAATTCCTGGCCTAGAAGATGTCAAATTTGAAGTGTCCAGTGCAAATATGAATAGTGTTACAAATGGTCCTGTGGCACAAGCTACTGCGGATCAACAGACAGCTGTATCACCTCAATCTGGAGTAAGTAATGAAGTGTAACTAATACACTGAAGGAATATACCTCTCTATGTCAAGCTTCTAGTCCCATTTGAAACAGATGGAAGAAGCAAGTCTATTGGAAGAGAATCAACTGTAAAGATCTAAAACTACATTTTTCACTAATGAAACAGTTTCAACAAGTGACTTAAAATAGGGTATATATACCCTTTCTTGAATATGTGGTTTAAATAATTAGAACTAACTCAAATCTAAGGGTAAATTCCTCCTTTCTCTTTTTTAATCACACTAAAATATGAACATGAATTACATCAAGGGACTGGGAAGGTCCTGAATGAAAATAACAGTTCATATCACATAATTCTAACTATTTTCTCTTCCTTTAGAATGTGAGCTTTCAGCTTAGATGGGGGTTTCTAGGATACTTTATTTTAAAGAGGTTATTACAGTGAATATTTTCTATGTATTATCACCTATGTACACAAAATTATAGCTTACTATAGGTGATCAACATTAAGATCCTATCCCTGGAATTAATTTTTGGGTGGTTTTTTGTGCGTGTGTGTGTGCTTGGTTGGGTTTTTAACACAGACTTAAATCCTATGATCACCACTTCACTAAGTGAGGTTTTTTGACTCATGTAGATGGATTTCTATCCCCAGTTTCCTATAATAGTTTATTTTGTTGCAATTTCCAATTCCAGTCTCAGCTCATTCTCCTATTTGGTGAAGTTGCTGTGGAGCAGCAATAGCTGGAGTACTCTGCTGCTTAGATTTTCGGCCAGTAACATGGGAGACAGAACGGACAGTTAGCATTGCGTGTTTCAGTCATGTTAGAGAATGACTACCAGTTAGTTCATTTTCTTTAAAATGTTCCTTCTCTCAGATATTAAAGTAGGGACAGATATTCATGAAAGGAGGCTTCCAATGCTACTTTCAAATGGTTAGTTTAATAGCGAATACGCAGTTTTATGTTGTCCTTTAAAAAGTACTGTAACTTCCTGTAATTTTTCATTTTTTTCAATTAATTACTCTCAACGATTCTTTGCTTTCATTATATTATCCTTTAGGTTAATGATTTATACTAAAAACTATAGTTTAGAAGTTATACAATCTGCATGAAACATTTGTCAGGGAATGAAATAAATATTTTGAGGAAAAAAATGCATTGGACCACTAGAGGGTATGTATAGATATAATCCTTAAAAAAACATTTTTTATAAAGTGAGCATTTAAATTTAGTTCTGTTTTATTCACTAAACACAACAAACTTAACAGGGCTATTATAAGCTCTTTTTTTTCACATATTGTGCAATAACTTAAAATTGTGGCTGAAAGTAGAATTACACTTGTAACAGTGAGTAACGAAAGAGTTGGGGTTTGTGTATTCATACATCTTGGAAATCTCTAACACTATCAATGTAGATCCGAAAAATCTTGATGAAGAGTTGCACTTTACCCTTAAATTACAAATTTTATGGATTGAAATAATGTGTTATTTTGTATATGTGTTAATGTGCTTCTGGTGTGCATACGTAATCATTAAAGCATTACCTTCTTTTTATACAGCAGAACAGTATATGTGAAGAAGGGTTACAGAAAATGGAGGTAGTAACAGAAAACATTAGAACTGTGGCCAAGGATCCAAGATATGCCAGATATCTCAAAATGGTACAAGTGGTAAGTCCATTTTCTTATCATTCTTTGGGTACACCATTATTTTTAGGTGGAAAGTCACACAGAGCTGTAAGTGAACATTAAATGTTTGAAGATGTATATTGCAACAGTAATCTTTAAGCTAGGAAAACATCACAATATTTCTAGCATATCTTCTCTAATAAATGAGTTGACGTAATATATTCCCTTAGATAGCTTCAGGCAACATCTTTCTACAAAATTCTGCCAATATATTTGTGAACTGAAGGTATGAAGATGTGTAAATGCAGAGTGATATTAGCTGGAGTCACAGAAGATGCCACCGAAAGTGTAGTTATTCTGGCAGAATTGGTGTCATTCTGTACACACAGACATTATTACAGTTTGATTTGGCTGTAGGGTTCAAAATACAGCTAGTATAGTCCATTCTGTAGGGCTGAAAACAGAGATATAAGAATTGCTTCACTATTTCCAGTTCAGATTCCTGTTATTGATGATGCAGGTTTTGTTTACCTCTTTGTCTGTGGGCTGTTCCACAGATAGATAGGAAATAAATGAATGTAATCTCAATATTACATGTGTGAAAAGTAATGAAAGAGTGAAAAGGTGAATGGTATGCTCTTGGTGACATTTTTTAAGAGCTCATTTTGTTCATGTCCACAAAATTAAAAATTAGATTGGAAACAAAGAAAAAAATCTGTCTTTATTTTCAAGCTGTCAGCAGAAGTTTTCCTCTAAAATATATGCTACAGTTCTGGAAAATATTATTTATGTCATAGTATTGGTAAAATGTTGCTTATGTTAAAACTAACTTCATGGTTTCACTCCCTCTTCAGAGCAATTATTACAATTGGTGTGCTTGGTACTTTGGATGATGTTCCTGACCTTATTTTTCATTTGAATCACAAATTGGCCCTTTATGGGTAGCCTATTACAAACCATTTGGAAAACCCAGCAGTGGGGTAGTAGCAGAGAGTAGAATGCTTTGTTAGTGTATTGATTTAATGCCAGACTTCAAAGTGGATGTGAAAGTGCTGGACAGTCTAATTACTTTGACTTTTTTTTTGGTGACTGCTAGAGGAGTGAGATCTCACTTTCCACATTTATCCTTTGTACTGGCAGTTCCTGGTGACTCCTCTGCCAGTTGTAAAGTGTGGTAGGAAAGTCAAACTAACATACTACAAATTGATGTGTGTTTCTGTGTTTGCCAAACTTGTCTTCTCGTCCAGTCGAGTATTTCAGTTCGTGTAATTTATTTGTCCACATTAAGTTTCTAGCTGAGGATTTGTTTGAACTGATCATTTACTTATTGCTTACAATATTTGAAGTATTTAAGAATTAGTACCATGAAGAGAGATTTCTTTTACACTAAAGATAGCTGTTCTGTGAAATAGTAACAACCTTATTTCAATGGAGTGCAGTCAAGCATACTAAATTAATTTTTTTTTAAATATACAATAATACTCAAGCAAACCTTACAAAAACAGTATCTTATTTGCTACAGTAATTGTTAAGAAAGCTTCTATTGACAGTGTGAGAGGAGCAGTCTACAATTTCAGATAAACTTCATGTTTAAAGTACAGATACTCCTACTTAGTTCTAAACACCAAACATGACTGCATAGATGCCAAGATACTGACTGGCCTGATATAGCTTGATCCTTGCTTTAAAGGACTGAAATAAAAAAAAAAACACGGAGGGTGCACTGATCTTCAGGAATTGCTAGCACTGATGGTATGTGACCTCTTTCTGCACTATGGAGAACCAAAACCTATTTTGCAACAAGATTGCTACTTGCTCTGTGGCTTTTCCAGGACTTGCACACTTCCTGAGCTGCAGCACCAGGCTGGGAGTAGCCCTGGGGTACACTGTGTTGAAAGTGTAGTCATTTGGATTATTTCAAATCTTAACTGGGCAGAGACAAATGCAATGGAAATTTAGTGTTGGTTCCTATGTTAGAAAAGTACACCTGTGCCATTTCAGTGGACCTGTATGCTCAGTGTAGTAGATTTAGAATAGTCTGTTTAGTAAGATTTAGGGTCATAGCAGTATTAGGCTATAATTTTCCAGCTTAAAACATAAAAGTATGAAAGATAAAGTAGTTGTAATGCCCTAAATGTATTATAAAAAGATATAGGTACAATCTTACTTGTTTTCCTTCAGGCAAAAAGTGCACTGTTAAAGGGTATTTTGATTAAACCAGATTCTTTTTCTAAATCTATGATATATATAAGCGTACTGAGAGATTTTTTTCTTACATGTTTTGATGATACCATTTCTGAATAAAACACTTCTCCAAGTGTGAACGTAAAAACGTAACAGTTTCCACTCCATTCTTAGAAGTGCATATACTAAGCTTTCTTTCATTGAAAGCAAATATGAATTCTGCTTTGCCTGACCTGACCCAGTCTTAATTTCTCTTGGTTTGAATTGACACATAAACACTTCATCAGTGACTTCTGAGCTGGGGAAAGAAACCCTAAGAGCAGTCAAGTGAGGGAAAAAACTTTAGGTAGTATGAGGCAGTATATAGACACACAATCCCTGCTGTCCAAATCTATACTAGAATAAGTATTTTAAACTGTCATGAAATACTCAAATGCTTTCCCCTTTGTAATGTACATTAGTTCTGAATTACTGAGGAATTCTTTATTACAAACTAATATATTGCAACTATTCTGAGTCATGTTTTTGCTGCTATGCCTGATAGGTTGCTAAAACGATGTACTTGTCTGTGTGTTGTTCCAGAATCTTCATGCACAAGTCTTGATTGTGATTCTTACTGTGAAACTGCAAAAAGAAAACACAGTAAGGCAGCTAGCTTAGCTCTCACTTTGCCAGGTTATCTACTGAACTGTCACTAGTACCACATGCTCCTCTGGAACATTAGTCATGGCAGCCCTTTATTTTATCACTATTTTACTTACTTTGGACAAGAGATCTTTGTCCTGTGCCAAAAGGAGCCTACACTAATTTTCATTTAGGTTGTGAGGCCTCTCCTGAGTTTTATAGACCACCAGTAGCTTTGTCCCTTGGAAATCAGAAATTGTATCCTCTTGGGTTTCTTTGTTAGTTTTGGTTTTTTTTTTCTCCCTCCTATCCTGGCATGCAGTGGTCCAGGTGGTATTTCTGATGGTTTGTAACAGGAGATGGCAAAGCAACAAGTTGACTTTGAGCAACTCTAGTGGAAACATAGGAGCAGTTTTTTGGAATGTATCTCAAAAGACTAGGGTGGGTCAAAGTGTTCTTGGGTATGCATACAAGATGGGGGGATGTTTAGGTGTTGCTGAATAAAACAAAGTGCAGAAGCTGTGGAAGGACTTGCAGTGAAAGGAAGGAATGTTTTTAACACATACATAGTTGACTAAAATCTGTCCCCAAGTCATACAAGATTCAAGCCTGACTGTACACAAGCACTTGTATTTGGAGGAATCACTTTTAAATTGTGCTTCTGTTCTCATGTCCTGTTTGCCTTTTTCTGCATGCTTTTTACAGCCTTTTCCAACTTTTAGTACTGCCTTAAGGTATCCTTCTGGAGCGGTAGCAGATACACTTTCCTGGTTTTCCTCCCTCTTTCGCAATAACTTCAGGATGTCTTCATCTTTCTAGCACAACTGTTGTTTGCTGTCTTTGTGATACTTAGTGCTTTCTTCACATTCTCATCCATACACATAACTGGCTTCTTGGTTTTGTCTGCATGAATTGTAAATGTATCTGTCCATTCTTGATTCTCTCCCTGCAACTTTCTCTAGATGTTTTGTCATAAATAGAAGAAGGATTAAAAGGGCCTTTGATCTCAGGGTTTCTCACTTCTAAGTTCCTACTGTCATTCCATGCTCTTGTTCAACAAGTGACATGCATAAATTTGTATGAAAGTGTAGCCTAAAAGAACCTGTGGAATTCAGTTCACCTGTTTGTGTCCAGTAATTTCATATTATTCTTCTTTCTCCTATACAGGGTGTTCCTGTAATGGCAATACGAAACAAAATGATTTTTGAAGGACTAAATCCAGATCTTCTCGAGTAAGTAATTTCTAGCTTTCAGTAGGGCTGGAACGCAACTATGTGTTTGAAAAACTTGGGGAAAAAAGTGTGCTTAAAAAAGCTTGTTTATAGTATTGTGCATCTAAATTATCAGCATTAAAACAGTTTTTGAAATCTTCAGTGAAAGGTGTTTTTAGCATCTTATAGGTCTGAAGAGGGCCATTAATAACAAAGGAGGAGGGATGCAGTCTCAAGTATGACGCTTGTCTTTTCAGTATTGTCTAGTCCAAGTCAAGGCCAAGGAAGTACAGAGAATGGAATATAAGTGGGTAGGTACTGTCCCCTCTCAAACAGAAGATTGCAGGACTTTACCATTCAGACTTGAGAGGAAATGGGAGGACATCTTCCAAGCTGAGCAGTGGTGGTGCAGTTCAAGGAAAAGGATATAGCAATGAGAAGGTAACATTTGGCACTGTGCATTTAGCAATGAGTGTGGTGGACTGACCATAGCTGGACACCAAGTACCTACCAAAACCACTCTATCACTCCACCTACTCACCTGGGCAGGGGAGAGAAAATATAACTAAAAGCTCATGGGTTGAGATAAGGACAGGGAGGATCATTCAGCAATTGCTGTCATGGGCAAAACTGACTTGACTTGGGGAAATTAGTTTAATTTATTACCAATCAAAAACCAGAGTAGAGTAATGAGAAATAAAACCAAATCTTAGAACACCTTTCCCCCACCCCTCCTTCCTTCCCAGGTTTAACTTTACTCCTGATTTTCTTTACCTTCTCCCCCCAGAGTGCAGGGAGATGAGGAATGGAGGCTGCAGTCAATTCATCACACGTTGTTTCTGCTGCTCCTTCCTCCTCAGAAGGAGGACTCCTCACACTCTTCCCCTCCTCTCTTGTGGGTCCCCCATGGGTTGCAGTTCTTCAGGAACAGACAGCTCCAGTGTGGTTCTCCCCTGGGGTCACAAGTCCCACTGGCAAACCTGCTCCAGTGTGGACTCCTCTCTCCACGGGTCCACAGGTTCTGCCAGGAGCCTGCTTCAGCACGGGCTTCCCACAGGGTCACAGCCTCCTTCGGTCATCCACCTGCTCTGGTGGGGTCCTCCCCAGGCTGCAGGTGGGCATCTGCTCCATCGTTATCCTCCATGGGTGCAGGGCACAGCTGCCTCACCATGGGCTCCACCTTGGGCTGCAGGGGAATCTCTGCTCCTGGGGTACCTCCTCCCCCTCCTTCTTCACTGACCTGGGTGTCTGCGGAGTTGTTTCTTTCACATATTCTCACTCCTCCCTTGGCTGCAGTTGCTGTTGTGCAGCAACTTTTCCCCCTTCTTAAATGTGTTATCACAGAGGCACTACCACTGTCGCTGATGGGCTTGGCCTTGGTCAGCTGTGTGTTTGTCTTGGATCCAGCTGGCACTGGCTCTGTCAGACATAGGAGAAGCTTCTAGCAGTTTGTCACAGAAGCCACCCCTGTATCCCCCTGGCTACCAAAACCTTGACATGCAAACCCAGTACAGATGAAGAATCAAATAATACATCAGTAGCCATTTTCAGTGTACGGTTTAGATTATGAGGTTTTTCCCAGATATTTTCTTTCAACACTTCAATAACTTCAATAACAACACTTCAATGACTTCAATAACAATGTCATTATTGTAGAGTAATAAGAACAAACTCCATTTTGTTTTGCTGGATGTGTGAGGGACAATACAGTTGTTCCCAGATTCCCTCAGTAGATGGAATGTACAACTTGACTTCAACATTGACAGTGTAAATTGAAGTCAGCAGTTTGTGTTGATTGAGCTAACCTGATGTGAAGACTACTAAGAATAGATACTCATTTTCAAAGCTACTTGTCTGGCCATAAGCATGAATTTTAGGCTTATTTTATATTTGACATGTAATTTAGTTTTACTGTACTATTTCACAGAATTTGTTAAACTGATGAAAATACTTTCACTCTTACATTATAGCAAAAAACTGTTTGAAACACTTTTGCATCCTCTTCAGAAACTGTCAATATATTAGAAAGTCCTTTTCTCCCTTCCAGTGCAGTCTTTACATTTTGGAAAGGCCCATTCTGAAAGTAGCAACTTATTTAATAATAATATGGGGAAACTGAAGTATCATATTTTGAGTCACTTTATCTTCCACCTACTTCCTGGTGTCTACACCTGAAGAAGGTATTTCTTGATATTTTTACTGACCAAATGAGAAATAAGAAAAAGAACACAAGTAAGAACCTGTGCAAGTCTGAGACAGGGTATCAAACATGGTTTTACTGTATGTGTGTTAAATGTGTTGTATTTTTCACTCTGCACTTCTGGTCCATATTTTTCTGTAAATGCTGCTATTTCTTCATGTTTGGACGGATTTTTGTAGTAGATAAAAAATAATAGGTTAAAATTTCAAAGGTTTTTTTTAGAAGTACCTACTTTTGGACTGTCTGTTTTGGGTTAAGACAGAAATGTTATTACTGTAGATTGCGGCCCACAGAAGGCGTTTGGGATTTGGTCTCAAAGTCCATCTTCAAAGATTCTGTGCAACAGTAATGCTCAGGCAGGTTTTCTTTAAAATGTTATTGGTTTGAAAACTGTAGCAAATCTACATGGTTAAAGAAAGCTAATTATTTGACAAGGTGCATAATGCATAATATTTTAAGGAGTCAGGAGAGACCTTTCTTTTAATTTTCTTGCTTTCTTGTCTCAATATCATAGATTATTTTTTTATATATATGTATCATGCCATTCGCACTACCTTTCTTGGGTCTTCAGGTTCCTTAGGTGTCTCACTCAGTGCCAGTGACAATTAGGAACATGTACATATCATTGGATGCTCAGTTGCTTACTGCAGACTCTCACAGCTGCTTGCCAGTGGCTGAGCGTGGGGTTTTTTGTGGCTGCAAAGATGCTAATTATAATAATATGGAATTTTTTATACTCTCTTCCTTCGTCTGTTTTACTTCTGTTATCACTCCTTTCTCAATTCTTTACAGTTTGAAAACTACCTATTATATTAAGCTCCCAATGTATCTGTTTTTAACTTCTGTGTCTATTCTTCCTATCTCATCTCACTACAATTCCAGGAGAGTTAGTCCTGCTCTCATGAGCTGAAGGAATTAATTGCCATCTTTCTCTCCTTAATAGAGGAGAGTTTTTGCACTGGTCTCTCCAGATCACATGTCTTTGCACAGCTCTTCTGTTTTGTTATTACCACGGCAACAAGGAATAATATTGTGAAGTGATATTTGCATGAGAAAGCAAACGCTTTCTTCTTAATTTATTTTAGAGGTGTGCAGGGGGGAGGGAGAAGGGTCTCCTACAGTTCTTTAAGGCACTTCTCAGTTTTGCACCCAAAATGTTTAGAAACACTTTAAAGGAACCTCAGGGATTTCCAACAGAGAAATTATGTTCAACAGAACTGAAGTTGGAAAATAAATTCTGTGGCATGGCACACAGGGTCAGCCCCAAGATAAATACCAACAGGATAGATAATACAATTGTCTACTTAGTTTAAGATGTAGTATTTTATCAAAGAGAGCAGTTAACTATCATATAGAAAGCTAGTTGCTGTGAAGAGCATTCTCCTCCTCCCCCAAGTATAATTGTGTGTATATTTTTTTACCTTGGTTTCAGAACTTACCAGGCTCAGTCTTGCTTGTATTGACAAACTCATTACATACTTAGGAGGGAGACTCCAGGGAGAGCCAGCATCTTCAGTCAGTAGTGTTAGTTAGTCTTTAGATGGCTTGCTTCTCTCCCCTTCATTGCCAGTAGATTCTCTGAGCAAAATTTTAACACAATGCTAAGATCCATCTTAAATATTCCCTTCAAAACTAAATGCAAGAGGTCTGATCATTTATAGTCAATAAAAATCCCATGGCTGCTCTTGCATGTCGAATTTAACCCAATGTCCTAGCCAAATTCCACTCTGAGTAATTCTTTTTTGCTTCTCTAAATTATCCCTGCAGTTTTAGTTGGATACAATATTGTTCATTTCCTGTCTTATTTTTTTCATGTACTATTTACACTGCTTAATGGTGTACAGCATGTTCCTTTCAGCCCTAGAACCTCTGAAGAGTGAAAAAAAAAATGAATTAATCAGTATTGCCTGCTTTCAACTCTTACTACAAGTGTTTGCCACTCTTAGTGATCTGTTATTATTTCCAATAATCTCAAAGGTGTTCATTCACAGTGATGTCTACAGTTTTGCTGTCCAGTGAGTTCCAGTTTCTAGTGTTTATCTTTCAGTTGTAAGTGAAGCAATACCAATAAAGTGTGAGTTTGTAAACTGTAAGCGGTTAATGTGTTAAAAGTTGTGGAAATAAGGTGTGTGCAATTGTAGTGAAAAGACATTAGCATTACATTGCTAAGTTTCTTGTGTTCTCAGCCACCTTCTAGGATTTACAACACAGAACGTTTTTGTTGCCTGCAGGACCCCAGATGCCCCTGTGCCTGCCTGGGGAGATGACGGGAAAGCAGAAGACAGTTCTGATAGTGAATCTTCATTTAGTGACTAAAGAGACTGATTTTGGCCTTTGGAAACCTCTGTTAAGTGCTAATGTGTTTGGAGCTTTAGCAGACAATGGTTTTGGGTGACATGTTTTATCTGACAGCATTTTGAAGAACTAAGATCCTCCATGTTCTCTCCCAGAAAGTTTGAAGGCAGTGTGTTTCAGACTGAAACTTCCCACCGTGAAAATTAATCAGGAGATCCTTGCAATTTTTATGCTGCATCGTTTCAGCTTCCTCTCTGATTCTTCTGAAATTACTTTGTAAAACTCTAAAAATTCTACACTCTAAACCTCCAGGTCTCTTAAGACTGCATTCTGGTCGTTATTGGTTTTTCTGTGTAACACATTTAACCTAAGTTGCCTTCTTTTTACCCCATAACTTATAGGTAAAGTGACTTTTCAAAATGAAATTGTTCCATTGATGAACTGTATTTTTTTTCTAATATACTATATTATGAGGTGATGCAACAAGAATTACATAGAAGTCAGCTATCTTACAGTGATTGCAAATCAGTGATACTCTGTTTTGAGAGAAACTACAAGTGAAAAATATATTAAAAAACAAGAATCTTTTTTCAAAGTATATACTGCTGTCACTTTAGAATCTCTGCAAAGCTGTTAAATTCCTGCTCTGTAGAAGAGTTGATGTATCAAATTCAAGCTATGGTGGTGTAGAAATCTACAAACCTTGCAAGATTGGTTTGAAAATAGCACTGTGAAAGAAGCAAGTGACTAGGAGATTATTAATGGAACAGCAGATTCTCACTATCACATGGGTCAGTAGAAACCACTTTCTGACTGCTGTGGAGCTTATTCAAAAGGAGCTCTGGCTGAGCAGTTTGCATAGGATAAGAAATCACCTCTAAGTTGGTGCCTTTGCTGTTAATTTCAGTGAAGAAGCCAAAATTTAGTTTGTATAATGATAAAACTACCTTGCTACCTTTTGAGGTATGCATTGGGGAACAATATAAAGAAATCCACTTGGAGCCTAACTGGCCCTGAAGACTTTTCTCCAAATTACTCAGTTTACTCCATGAGTCAAAAATGACATTTCTTTAAAGAATCTTCTTTAATATAATTTGTTCCACATGACCTTCTTCACAATCTATTTGTATTCCCTAGATTATTGTGATTATACCAGAATGTTGTGGGCCAGGCAATCATTCACTTTCTGGTATTTCACATTCTTCCTGAGACCAAGAAAAGACTAAAACTGAAGCTCATAAGTGTATACATTTGTTAGCTTTTATGACCAAGTCACTATCTTCTCTCTTAGTCATTTATGCCACTTCAGTAGGTTAGCTGCTTTTTTTTCTATAACTTAAGCATGGCTCCCGTTTGAGTCTAGCAGACATATTTAAGCTCTTCATAACCTGTAAATCAGAGTCATGCCTGAATCCCTACAAAAGAATATATGTACTAGAGAATGACTAGAGATGGCATTTCGATGATGATTTAATTATTATTGAACACTTAAAAATATTCAATAGTTAACTCTTGGTAAACCTCAACAAATATTAACATTAGCAATAAGTATTTCAAAAGTAAATGTTATAATATGTCAGAAAGCATATATTAAAACACTGATGACTTTTAAAAATCTATATTTGAAAATTCATTGAAGCAATCTATATAATTAAAGCTATGCTTTGTAAACCAAAGTTGCAGTTCTATTTTATTCCCATATGTTGTTTTAAACATGTTAATAAAAATTCTTCTGAAGTCTCTGCAGCTCATATTTTGGAAATAGGGGTTTGGAGTTTAACCTAAGCCATGTTAGAGGACAGCTGAGCATCCCATAGCCACTATTCTAACAAGAAAATTTAGGAAGATTGAAATTAATGAGGACTGTATGTTTGATACTCTTTAACTGATACTAATCTATGTAAGGAAGTGGCATGATTTAGAGTTAAGACGTAGCAGTTAATTATTTTTTTAATAAACAACGTTACCAAAACACATTTAAGGAGGTATGACTTCCATTGTTTATTATTTTGAAACTTTTTCTGTAAAGTAATTTTAGTTTGAAAAACCTAAAATCAATTGTCTTTTAGACCACTACAGATGTACTTTTATGTGGAATGAAAAAGATTGAACATCTAGTAGGCCTCTAGCCTATTGTCATTTGTTAAAATGATGTATAATTAATTGGTAATTACATAATGTCACAGAATAACAACCTCATTAGTAGGTATGGTGAATTTAATTGCTTGAGACTTGTGGGTTTTTTCAGAGTAGCTGCCTACTTTGGAACAGTATAATCTTGGTAAGTTTGCAGAAACGTTAAGATAAATTTTGCTACTTTGTCTCCTTTCCCACTTGTGTGGTGGCACACTGGAGAGTAAAAATCCAAGTATCTATACTGTGAGGAACCAGGGGAAAAAAGATAAAACATTTGCTTTTTACTTTCAGTGCATCAGCAGCCATAGTGCTTCCACTGCCTTCGGAACCTCTGACCACATTAAGCTCCTCTATTCCTGCCAGTCTCATCTGCTAAACACATCCCTGTACTCTTAGGTTGTAGCCAAATTCAATCTGAGATGTTTCAGCTCAGGACACATGCTGACACAAGAAGCTATTAAGTATGGGAAGGTTGGTTTGAGATTGAATTATGTCAGCTCTGCTAGTCCTCCTTGATCTACAGCAGTTCTCTAGTGAGATGGTGCTAACCCAGAAAGTTGGAAAGTCCTTAACCGCAAGTTAAATACTATAAGCAGAGAATATTCCAACTTGCTCATTATTTGCCATCTGTTTTGGAATAGAAGATGGAGGGAGTATTTCAACTTGGCTGCATAGTAATCAGATATACGTAATACTTTCAAGGGAAGGAGTCCATTTTTAAGTGATTTTTATTTTTAAAGAGCTTCCAACACCAAAGAACTTTTAAAAGATGCAGTGTACATTGAGAGGTGTCAGTCATACGTGTCTAATATACCCAAATTTTACATGGATTTATAAACATAATTCAGGGAAATACTACCATTTGTAGGCATGAGAACTACTTCAGCTTGTTGCTGGAATAACTTGAATGCATCTGTTAATAGTACTAATTATGTACTATTAGTAAATTATGTACTCAATGCTTAAACTAATTTTTTTTACCCCATCACCATCTTCCTCATTTTGCAGGTGAACTGGAGTGCTTAATGTATAAAGATCAGTTTATTAAAGAGATTACAGGCATTTTAAATGTATGTAGGTGCCTTAACACTAGATGCCTATCTGTATTTATGTAAGTGAAACCTCAAACAACTGTCAAAGGCAAAAACAACATCTGGACATGATAATAACTTTATACTGGAGTCCTAGTTTAGCACTCTTAATTATTAATCTGTTCCCTCTCAACTCTCCTGTTCAGCTACATTTGAAAAGAAAATTGATGGTTCTTTTTCCAAGCTGGTTCTCTTTCTCTCTCTTGTTTTTCTTTCCAGTGCATGTTATTTACACCAGTAAGTGTATAGTTTGACATTCTCTGAAAAAAAAGTCATAAGAAGCTTTAGCCTGGGCTTGGAAAAAGAGAATATCACTAAGATCAGCACTTCATTGCATGTGATCAGGTCGATTTCGCTTTCCATAACATTATGTAGCAAGAAACTGAAGTTCTGCATGGTCTTAAGCTTTTTGAGAATCCAGTTTTATCTCTGAAAAGCTGATACAAGGTTACAACGTTACAATGGATTTGTCTGCATAATGGAATGTGTGTTTTCTTACTCTTTAGAAAATTTGGCAAACTGTTTGAGACGCCTGCAGGTCAAATGCCTGCACTAGTGTCCAAAGTGTTACTCTCCTGATACTTCATGGGATGGTGTCTCCACTCAGTTCACTTTACAGGCAAAACAGGAACTGGCATATTAGCTCAGGCCTGTGGCTTGCTTAGTCTTTCAGTTCTGTCTCTGGTAAAAATCAATACTGAACGATTTAATGGAAGATGTGAGGAGTACCGCGGTGCTAGGCAGTCCGTTTTCCTGCCACCAAGATTTTACTCCAGCTGTGAGCAGAGATTGATGTTCAGTGCTGAATTATGAGTTTGTTAGTGCTTCCAAAAACGTTGGCATTAATTCGAGAAGCTCTGGATACTCCTGCCTTGAGTTTGATCGTCTAACTTTGCAAATACAATATTGTTTTAAGGGAGTTCCATGGACTAGTTCATTATGAGGGAAACTAAGCAGAAAATTAAAATAACATACCTCATGCCATACAGAAAATGAGTGACAGAAACAAGCTTAGCATGGGATATGTCTCCACATACTTACACTCATTTTGAGGAAACAAGTTTAAATGGCTATAAAGTAAAATTCAGGTCTTTGGGTGAAGACAGATGTAGCATGAAACACTCAGTTTTATTTGGATTTTTTTAGAAATGTTTAAGTCAGTGTCTTGACCTTAAACAAATGGATTGTTTTCTCATTCAGTGTATTTCCCATTCTCAGGTAAATGGGCGGAAAGGAAAATTCTGAACAAACATTCACTTCGCAGTTGATTTTTTTTTTTTTTTTTTTTTTTTACCCTCTCCCTGAAGGAATTAAATGGTAAATAATATTATTCTCTGATTTCAGTAATATACTTTTTGCTTATCAAGCTCTTGTATGTTCTAGTATATGAGCTTGTAGTTGAAAGCTGTCTCCTCTGTCTGAGGACATGCTGTTCCCTGTACACTAGAAATCTTCTCTATGCTTTATTATTGCCTTCTATTCTGGTCTGTGGAATCAGAAATTGTAGTAAGGTGGGTGCTAGGCTTGGGACCAGTCTTTTACTGGAAAGAGCATGCATCTGAGTGCTGAAAATGACAGATGAAAGGCATCTGGGAGTAAATTTTTACATTTATATGAACAATTCTTTTTATAGGCCGATTACCATCAACTGTTTAACAAACCTTACACTTTATGTCACTTGAGTACACTTGTATTGCTGCGAAGAATTGGACAGTGGAAAAGACTTCTAAGGCCCTTTTAAAATGATAACTCTCCTAAGAACTGTGATCATCCTTTTTCCTTTCAAACAAATGATCTCTAGCATTCAGCTGGCTCCATGCTCCCAACAGTTTCCATAATCCTTGTGTGATTTCTTGTAGCACAGTTTACAGTTTTTCAGGGGCATGGGGAATCCTTCCCCAGTGAGAGCTAGATTTTCACAATGAACGTCTTACACTACTAATTTCTCTATATGGCTTCCCAACAGCTCTTTGAAAAGGAATACTTCTGCATACTGAGATGATCCTTTGATCTTCTGGATCCACTTCGCCTACTTTTAAAGTAGAGTAGGGAGGGGGACGAGCAGAGAAAATTAGGAGTGTCTTTTTCTTTGTTGTTTCATCATTTGCTTTTTCCTCAGTGTAGTGCTTTTAGGGAGCAGCCAAATAATAACAACAGAGATTTTTTCCAAGAAACCTTGAACAACATTGTCTTGTTTGCCCAGCGTGATGCCTGGCATCATCAAAAGCAAAGGGTGAAATAGGCGTCAGCCAGTATTTTTGTAAAAATGGATTAGGTGAAAAATGGTTCATAATGCCGTATCATGTGTTTGGTGTGGTTTAGGGAACTGATGTCAAAATTGCCTGCCTGCACAAAAGCCTGCCTGCTCAAAAGCATATATTGAGAAGACAATTTAAAAGCAGCTGAATACAGTTAAAATATCATGGGCAAGGGGTGATTATTAGTATTTTTTACTGTAACTTCTCTTTGCCTCTGACTTGGCTTTCATGTCTGCCTCCTATTGTAAACCTTAAGTTTTGTTACTGTTCTTCCAGCCTCCTGGCATCCTTTCTCTTCAAACATTGTTGAGTTGATCTATTACTGTAGTTTAAAACCATGCAAGTCTCTCTTTTGAGCTCTTACATTTTATAGGATGACTCTGTGATAGCTTTTGCATAATGTTTTAATTGTGGAAAGTGTTTCAGCATCATTTACTATGGAAATGCCATCACTTTGTACATGTGTCTATCCTTAGTTTTCCTCAACTTTCAGAACCTATTGGCTAGTTTCAGTCACATTTTGTTAGGTGAGAGAGGAAGACATCTCAAAGATTGGGGTCGCTATGGGTTTGATGAAAATAAGTAACTGGATAAAAGGGAGAAATAAGGTAATAACTTCTGAGTTGAAGAAAGGCTGCATCCCTGGCCGAAGCCTTCTTGGACTCCGAGTGATCAATATCAGAAGATGTTATAAAGTGCCCGTTTATGCTTTTCCCCCAGGGTTAGGCCCTCTCATCAGCCAGAAGCCTTTACACCTCTCCAGTTACAGCCCTAACCCAACTCTAGGGTTGCCTCCTCGATTTTCTTTATTCAGGCAATGTGTCGACCAGCAGAACAGCACAACACTAAAACATTGCCAGTGAGATTATACCTAGCAACTGGTGTGCCCAACAGCTAGAATCTGAGGTTCTCTAAATAGGGTTTCCATTGTCTCCAACAGATTTTTATGAGCATAAGGCCATTGTCTGTAGCCCTGCTATAGGAAAAGTACACCTAGAGCTTGCTTCT